ATATATATATATATATCCTCGTCTAAGTAACCGGATAACAAATACAATTGGCAGCATTTCTATATATATATTGCATTGCTTTGGAAATTCGGCTAAGTGAAATTGGGTTTTGGTAAATCGCTGGATGTGTACTATTATGTAGCTAAATAGTAACAATATCCTTCCGGTTCTTTCTCTCGAGTGGTTTCATCAGCTACAGGGTTACGTGGCAGCAACCTAAAGAAATTTTGCGTGGAAGATGAACACAATTGCTTAAAAAGTCAAAAACCAGCAAACTGGAATTCCTTCAGCAGAAAGCAAGTAAACCCCAAAACTGGCAGAAATTAAGAGGGTGATGATATCATACTGATAATCTCGAATATCGCTTTGGATATGTGTTTTTCACGGCTTCACGTGTGTACACATATACACATATATACATATATAGCTACGTCGACCCTTGATTACAGTTTTTATTTGTTAGCATATAACTTCTCCTTGTGTGAGATCAGATGATAATAAATTATTAAATATATTATAAGGAGCACATGATCGATCCACATAAAAGGATTTCCTTAGTTTTAATAGTAGTGCATATTTATATAATTCTCTAATTAACCACCGAAAAGAAAATACATATATATCATAAGTCCACCAAATTTCAAATTGCCGAAGCCTCAATAAGAGCTAATATAACATGAAGTCATTGAAGCTATAGCCCTAATCTAAACTTAAAGAGATAGAGCAGAATATTTAATAATTAAATTAACCACAGCCATCTAGCGTGTCTTTCTCCTAGCTAGATGGTATATATATTCCAAGCTCCTAAATCTGCAACCGAAGAACACAACAAGATCAGTTCTCAACAAACTAAAAAGAGGGTCTAGGATTTTATGTCAACACGTAAAATTAGACAAAACCACAATCCATTCAAATATCAAGCTGTTTTCCGTTTCTTATTTGGGTTGACTTCAGATTTGTTGTCCTATTTTTCTCTGTTGGTGGTTCCCTAAATACAATTTTAATAATTCGTTTAGTTAATTTAATCATGTGACTGAATTCTTAATTCTCGATGATATAACTAGTATTTAGGAACAATTAAAGGACAGAAAATTTAGGACAACAGATCTAAATTCATTTGAGTCAATACATTCATCTTAAAAAAAGGAGTGACATGTATGATTTATATAGGGTTTACAGTGAAATTAACTATATATTATATCTATCGGATACAAAACTTGAGTGAATTAATTCCGTCAATAAAAAAAAGTGCCTAGTGAAAAAAAAAATAATGGGGAGCACATAATTAATTAAAGTTAATTAAATTAAAAATTAAAAAGAATCATGCAGATGCTCTAGCTTACAAGATAATAAAATGCACCGTGGTGGAGGGAGTGGAGAGTAACACCCCACTCGTTGGTAAGAACGGGCTGGCCGTTGGAGTGGATGAGCACCGCCTCCACCCCAAACGCCTCCCTCACGCTGAACGGCCCCGCCGGCACCTCGAACGCCACGTCGTTTATGAACACCGTCGTTTTACCGCACCCTACCGCAGGCCCCACTCCAGATACCGATCCCTGTTCTCCAACAGCTGCTGATCACAGTAAAACAACGTACGTAGAATACAGTATTAAATTATTTATATTACCACCGCCATACCTTATTACAATCAGTACTATAGTCGTACATAATATATAATATATACACACACACATATAATATATGACAAAGGCCCAAACCAAAACAACTGATCAGAAGCTTGTCAATCAATAGAAGAGTACTAGTAGCTATAGCGAGCACCAAAGCCATGCACACGTCCATCCAGACATCAGATCTCGCAAGACCTGTTAATCAACATGGACTGACAATTTTGCCCTCCTTTTTTTCAAGTTTACAATCAATTTTTACTGTCTTTCACTAGGAAAAATCTTCCCGCGCGTGGAAGCAAGCGCGGTTGAAATTGAACTTGCTTTGTGATCAATAATCAATATATATATATATGATGTCACACGTTATAATAGTCCACTGTTGTCCATATATGAATTAGTGTACACTAAATGTTATTACACATACAGGATGCACATGAAAACAAAATTTCAATCCCAGTTTCGGTTTCAGATTCTTTTTAATAAATATTACATACCTTGGATTTGATTCCCTGAAGTCACACTACGAGTAGTGGTAGAATTAGCGGCCGTAGTGAGAGCAGTGATGGCCGGAGAAGTCGACGCCGCCACCACCGCCGCCGGGGCGTAATTCTGCTGTAGCTTATTCCCAGCTTCCTGAGCATTAATATTATGATCATGGCCTATTAATTTCTTAGAAGCCCCATGATGGTTCATGATCTCGCTCAATAACAGGCTAGTACACGGCCCAATATTATTATGCTGTTGAGTGTAATGATCAAGAGGTACGAAATTATGAACCCCGTTTGGCATGAGCTCAGGGAAGCAAAACCCTTGGCTAGAACTGGACTGAAACAAAAAGGGTTCGGCCAAGAACTGGTCGTGAGTACTGCTGTTGGTCTGGAAGAAAGTACTCTGGTTAACCGAGGCGGTCGGAGAGTTTAAGGCTTCGGAGAAACCCATTGAGAAGGCCGGTCGGTTTGGTGCTTTGGGAGAAGATTTCTCAGAGGATGAAGAAGAGGACGAGGAAGGAGCTATGGTAGTGGTGGTGGTGGTGGTTGTGTTGATGGTGGTAATATTATTGGAATTATTAGGTAGGATTTGGTGAATATTTTGCTGTTGTTGTTGTTGTTTGGAGTTTTGAAGGTGTCGGAGCTTGTGTTTGCTTCTGGATTTCCTGTTCTGGAACCAGTAAAAGACGTTGGCATCACCCACTTGTCCGTACTCCTGCAATTGAGCTCTGATCTTCCTTATCTCGTCTCTGGGAGGGTTCACCATGCCCGAGTTGAAGATCGCTTCCAGGATCCGAATCTGTTCGGGTTTCGGGTTCCATCTCGGCTTCGGCTCCGGGCTCCTCTCTTCACACCCCGTAACTGTTGACACCACAAAACAAATATGTGCACACGTAAAATACATATAAAACTCTTGATTATATATCAATCAATCAATCATGTTGATCACCAAAAAAGGCTTGTATATATGGAGAAATTGGATTTTTCTTTTTTCTTTTTTTCATGAGAACTCATGGAGTAGAAGAAGATAAATTAGTATTATTATAAGGACTTGGTTTTTCAGTTACATGATGAGGAACAATATTGAAGGCAAATTGTAAGAGTGATATTTACCGGAAGTGTAGGGAGCTCTGTGGCAGCCATTTGAGATGAGAGATTGGTTGATGTCGTGTTGCCATTGGTGGTGGCTATTGCAAGGCTTGGACTTGAACAAACTCGGCCAGTGTCTGTTTGATGAAGCCATGATGATGGAAATGAGGAGGATGATGATGATAATGATGGTGATGATGATGAGAATAGAGAACTGATCTTAGATATGTATGTGTATTAAAGTAGCCAAACAAAAGAGAAACAACGATGTTGTAGCCGTTTTGTTGCTCTTGTTTTTGGTACTGAATCCTCTAGCCACGCATAACATCACTTCTTATAGCCTCCTCACCTACTCCCGAGAAAGTTCAAATTTTTTTTAGTTATTTCATATAATAATATTTATAATGATTTAAACAGTGCCCTTGTTCCCTTCTCCCGAAGAAAGTATAAAATTGTGATGAGAAATACACGTAAAAAAAGATTTTTTTTCTTATAAAAAAAATACAATTAAAATGGATTCTTATATAAAATGGACAAAACCCACAACAGGAATCGCCTGTGAAAAGGAAAACCAAAAAAGGAAACCAAAATAAATAAAAAGAGAGGTGGAGATAAGAAGAGTATATATAGTACAATCTCCCCATTCCTTTGGTTAGACTTTTGCATTAAATCTGAAATACTTGTGCCCTATTCAAAGTACACACATATACAAGCCAATTCCCCCCCGGACGAGAAGCAAAGAGAACATGGAAAGGAGTACCTGCTAGGGCTTAATTAGAATCTTCATCAGAGATGACAGAGAACGCTCTTAATGCTTTATTAGAGAGAGAGAGAGAGAGATGATGTTTTTATAGGTTTTAGATGGAGAAGTGGGGGTTGTTTCTGATAAGTTTGTCTCTTTCTTTTTGATTTATATTTTCTTACTTTTCCAGATTTCTATGGAGAGGATTCTCTTACTTGCTTGGTTTGCTTGCAGTGTATTAATGGAAGAGGGAAGGGGTAGAAATAAGTGTTGGTAATATTCTAATGGAAAAGGTTGTTGCAGGAATAAATAGGGGGAGAAAGAGGGAGGGGTGTTTGAAAGTCAAGAAAGGGCATGTAGGGTTTTGATTGGAAAAGCGGTGGCGGGAGTCGTGGGGATAGTAATGGCAAGAATTTTGTTATTTTGGGCAAAGTATGGCAAAGCCTAGCTAGCAATTGCAAGCTTTTGGATTGACTCGAGGGTCTTTATTTAATGTTATTTTTTATTTTTTGAACAATTAATTCTAGGTTCTTCTCAGATCTCAAAAGCGAATTATAATTCACGGTACCAAATAAAAGCAACATATATAGATAGACTAAAATTCTTGATTTGAACAAAATTTTGAAGCAGGAAAAAGAAAATTAAGGCGAATTTACTTGATTTCAGTTTTTCACCATGCACGCTTTGTTATAGGCTTGAATGCATTGAACAAATTATGCACCAGTAAGAAGGCGGACTTCTAATTAGGTTACCACTAGATTTGTTTGTAAGCTATATGTGATCAGTAGGGGCATGGTGATAACATGACATTGATTTCAATCTATCATATTGTGTTCTATGAATCATATGTATGGTTCATGAATGACATTTTTTACCCTCTAATAGTAACTCACCTGCGGTCGTACGTGTGTTTTTATATTACAAATATTTTAAGGGAAAGGATTAAATAGAACTTATTTAAATTGGGAATGGCCATAAGTATCGGGTATAAAATTTAGAATAATTTGTAAGATCTCGCAGGGTTGATTGAGAATAATTGTTAAGGGTAAGCTAAGCAATTCAAAACCCATATAGCAGATCCATATGGCTACACGAAGCCCGACGTCAGATATGTTGCACAAGCAGGATCAACGTCTAAAATATGTTGCCTAGCTATCACTTAGGTGAAGTTATGTAACTTTTAAGTGACGTCTAAGTGGCCTCAGATTGGCATCTTTACAAGGGGCGTAAAGTTTTTGCCAATTCTTTCCATACTAGTGAGCGTTATTTTGTAGATAAAATTTCGTATATTGACTTTTTTGGCTATTTTTTACATTTATGCTATTCAAAATATAAGTTTGTGCTATTTAAAATTATTTTTTTACTGATTTGAAAAAAAAGAAAAAACATGTTTTGACTATATATGATTTATATGTCACTTTGATGGTATAAATGTTAGTTACTACTAAAATAAGTTTTCTCTCCTTTTTGTATTAAATTCCAATAGTCATGTAGAAAAATATACAGAAACCCAAGAAAGGAAAAATTGACACCTCTAAATATAACTTATACAAATCATTCCTTATATATGTTTTAAGTAGTGCTATACATCCTAACATTTATACCAACCTTAATTAAGCTGACGTAGCAAGTAGATATTCATAATGCAATTGATATAAGAAATTATTTTCTACAAATAGGTTTAATTATTATTGAAGCACTCCTAAGAAGGGGCAGAAGGTGAGAACACAAATTTCAGTTTCTTCGTTTTAAAGTAGTCAGTTGTACCAACAAGACCACGGCTTAAAATTTGAACTCGAAATGGGATATATTGCAAGATTCTATTTGTTTATTCATTTGTTTTCTCAGGAAAGGAGGTTAGGTTATCGATCGATGTCCAGCTTGAAAAAGTTAAGACACGTTATCCATTTTAACGAATTAGTTTGACATTTAGATAGGAGGAGGAAGATATATATAACACAACAAATTATAAATTAAGCAATTGATCAAGTACTCTTTCTATCTCTCTCTGTTGAGTGTTGAGTGTTGAGTCATGTATGTGGATTTGTCAAACTCCGCGTGCAAAACGATAGAGAGTAAATGTTTGGTCCAAATGGTGTCGGTGCATTTCCGACATGTAAATCTCACAACCCAACTCAACTTCCCTTCATGACATCTCATCATCAATCTCTTGTATCCAATTCCTCTTTTAGTCTCACATTGAGTAATCTTTTACCCATAATTTTTTCTCTTACTCAAAACGTCTTTGAATAATGTATTCATGCTAATTAATTTATCATCAGTTTAATTAGATAATGGCATTTTTTCTGCAAAAAGATATATGCTAATAATTACCCTCCTTTTTTTTTTTTTTGTAAGTATATATGCATATTTTTGTTACTTTAGTAAGTATATATCAAGTTGTACTTGCTACAAAAATGAGAGTGATAAGAATCCGTTGTCACAGCGGGATCATTAGTTTGGAAGAAAGGAGTTGTAGCTGATAGAAGACTTTTTGTCCAACGCCATGTCGAGTTTTACTTAACAATAAACTAGCATAAGTCAACATTGAGATTTCTTCTAACAATGTTGAATTGCCTTCTACATATCTTTACATTGATCTTCAAAGAGAACGTTTAAGCCCTCAACATGAATAAGACCTTGTTTCTGAAGATTCTTAGGCTGATATCACTACAAGAAAAGTACTTTTAGTGACAAAAATTGAGTCCACAAGTCGTTGCAAAACGTTTAAGCGACTACAGTACTGTCGTCGCTAGTAGTTAGTTGTTAAAAGTCGTTGCAGAAGAGCAGGAAAAAGAGGGTAAAGAGGAAGTGATTCAACAATTTGATGAAGATTATTGACAATTATTACTGATTATAATTAAAGAGATTGAAATAGTTGCCTTAGGGTTTTGGGTCAATTTTGCGGAGCTTAAAATTTGCAAAATGCTATATATAATTGATTATTCTGGTAAGAAAAAAGGTCTATGCTCTCTTTATATTTAAAGTAAAAGTGCTCGCTATGATTTGTGGTATTGGTTTCCCATTTTCCTTCACAATTTGGGTTATGCCAATGACGTTGTCAAGCATACATATTTATAATGTTCAGTTGTTACTTCTAAAAGATTATGCACTATTAGTCCTTCGGATGGAGTTTCCACATTGAGTTTTGTCGTTTGAGGATTTTAATAAGACATCTAATTACTTCCACTTACTTTGGAGAAGAATAGATCTTTTATCTTGGAAGCATCAACCTGCAGTTTATGCTTTCCTTTAATTTTATCTTGAACTTTATAAGTCTGCTATGCCTTTTTATTAATTTGCGTTGTTCTTCAGGCTAGTTTCATTCTTCTATATTGTTGTAATTTTATTTTTCTTTATCGTTTCATTTAATAAATTGAATGGAATTAAACTTGGTGTGCGTATAAAGATCAAATTAGTATATGCCAACATTATCAGGATATGCTAAATTCCTCTCACATTGCATGTTAGAAAGAAAGGGTTTTACTGTGGCAAAAAAGTTGGTACTTATTAGGGGTTGATATTATGTCATTTATTTTATTTTATTTTTATTTCTTTTGAGTAAAGAAAGACGTTATGAGTTAACTGCTTGAACTTTATACATGGACAATATATCAAGGATCTTTTTAGGCTTAATTAAATTCTTCCATTTGCCCAACTCATAAAAACTGACCAATCACTAATTTGTAAATTAGGTCTAGGCAAATTAATTTCTTTTTGTTAAACTAAGGTTACACGTTTCTTCTTCCGTGCATGCATGTATAGGTAAATTTATATCTAGGTAGTAATCATCCATTGATCTTTAGATTAATTTTCTGGAAAACATAAAAAGAAAAGTTGAAGTTATTATGACGTTTATTCTGTATTTATCGATAAATCCAAACTGATCTATGTCCTAAATGGAAAAACGTTAGGAGAGAGTACCACAATGCCTTCAAAATTCGTCACAACTAATACCAATGAATTACAAATGGGACCATATATGTATGAATGTATATATATGTATATATATATATATATATAGACACACACACACACACGTAATATAGCATCTCTCTTTGTGCTTGTGTGTGCGTGTTTGGGGCAGTAGGGCAGAGTCTGCAAAAAACTCTGAAATTCGAACCCATCAAATGTAATATACCAATTGAAGTGGGCCTGTAAGTGCTACTTCTAGTTAGAAGAGAAAAACAAAAAACAAAAAAGAAAGAGACTTTTTCTGCTAAGGTCTCTATCAATAGAAGAATTTGATTAAAATCATATAAAATTTATGATACATATTTAATAGTTGAAAGTAGAGAATTATCCATAGTTCATTTTTTCTAATCATACTAGAAAAACTCCTCAAAGAAAGTTTTTTTTTTTTTTTGGCTTTAAATTTCAGTCAAGGTTATTTCAAACGTGCGTATCCTTTTGCAATGTCCAATACCCACACCTCGCATTTACATCTCTTGGCTGTACTAGTTGGGGATATCTCTCTTCTGCTCCATTCTACGTAGTACTATAGTACTAGCTACTACTCTTCTTGTTCCCATTTTTAGTGTCTTTTTCCTTTTCTCAGTCTTGTTCTTTCTCTCTTCCTACCAGTCTGTCTGCACGAATTATAGAAATATATTAACTCAACAATGTGTACACTTTTTGATTTTCCCTTTCTTTCTTCCCTTATCTGAGGTTTTTCTGTTCAGCTCTCCTATCTAATACGTATATGCTATATTTAACTTCTGCATTAATTCAGTGTCCATTTGTATGATATTATACGATACAATTTATATTGTGTACATAATATACTAGATTGAACATTAATGTGATTCTTAATTTCTAACAGAAACAAACCCTGATCATGTCTTGTTCTTTGGCCTCTACTTTAAATATGATTGGATATATTATTGATCAATATATATAGATATATGTATATGTTAGTGAAGCTTCTTTCTATTTCTATATGTATTTAATTTAATCCAAACTAGGGTAAGGTGTTGTTCACTCATGAACCCTAATCTACAGAAGAGTGTTTCCCTCAAAAAAAAAAAAAAAAGAAAAAAGAAAAAAAAGACACACACAACAGTGCAACATA